ATGACGCTGCCAATATTTCATATTATTTTTACCGAAATATAATTTGACAACTTTGTGTTGAACGTTCCAATTGAGGGCAATCACTATACGAACAACGGCTGTGTATTACATGTTTTTGCAAGATGTTATGTGTTGAAAAACCGTTGCATCAGTACTCCCGAAAACATTGTACTGATTTTCAATTTCAGTTTGATTAGTATAATTCAATATATTATGCCGCAGTAACCATATTAAACGTGCGTGGTCCCGACCATGTGCCATGACTGTCTTAAATGTTTCATGCAGAATATTGTACCCATACAGGTGGTTCGCTTATGTTCCAATGTGGAGCTCTATTCTATATCAGTTTGTGAAACGGTAAGTTTATAGATAACTTACTCAACTTCTAACTCACCACCGACTGCTTATAGTTATGCTAGTGATGGTTTGGTTTGTACAAGTGACACAAAAAATATAGGCGCTGGACGTCTGTCGAATGCCACAATCGAATCCTATTTTTCTATTATTAAAGTACCTCGTCTTCAACGAAAAACACGCCCGCGGCCAGCACAACTCGTTTCTGAAATCTTTCAAAGCACTCAGGCAAGATTAAAAGCTGGTAAATATGGAGTTATTCAAACAAATAAAGGTCGACGAAAGCGTGCGAAAAATAATACTGATATTAACATAATCGAAGTATGAAATCGCCGTAAAAGGAACACAAATAGATCGGTCTATTTGGCAAGAATCACAAAAAGACCATCGTTAGCGAAGCAAACTACGTATGTAACTAACTTATAAATTACGTATGTCATTTAGCTTCGGGTTCTACTTTTAGATGTGCGTTATTTCCGTTGAAGCCGAAAAGAAGCATCTCGACGGAAGAGTATAAGGATCTTAGAGATGCGCAATTAAGGTAAGTTCCAGCCTATTCAAATCAGTTTGTTCCTAAGCAGACAGAGTATTAACGAATATTCCAGTCTCCTTGAGAGCATTTTCTGAGACATTTAACAACTAGTCGAATAAAACTTTATAGAGACGTCCCGTGTACGTAAAAGTTCCAAATTTGAATTTAAGCGCTGCTGTGTGGTGGATATAGCGATGAACTTTTGGAATTTAAAACCCAAATTCACAAATTCTAGAAGTTCAAAAATTCATACATTAGTAAATTCAGATGTAACATACCATATATGTGGAATTATGTTTTATTTCGAACATGACTAACAGTACATAAAAGCTTTCTAAAAGCAACCGCATTTTCCTAGCGAAACATTTTTTGGTGTCCAGGTATGACCCAAAGCATGGGATTCTAGAAACCCCACTTTTACGCGTTTTGAAAAAACTAAGTGAGCGAAATAAAAGAACATCGTCCAAACTATTAAAGCTGAAGTGATTCTTGCAGTTGCGAGCTTTTCTTGTATGATATATTTCTCGTTCGTCGTTTGCTACATAGAAAATTCGGAGTGCAAAACTTACTTTACATCCAAAAGACATGTTTTTAATGTTTGTGGTAATTTATCACACAAAATAAGTCCATAGATTTCTTCTTTTGCCTTGCCAAACAGTGAATCAATTAAAGCTTTTCTGTTTTTCATCTTTCCTTTCACATCAGCCGAGTAATATACAAATAGAATGTTTCCTCGCTTGAACAGAAGAAGATAGTTTTCTCGACAAATTCGTTGAGTTAATTATTGTAGAGAAACGTTCTCAAATCTTTTATTTTCTTAGAGATGCGGGAACCACTTACACTTATAGATGTACACACATATATGCGCCAGGCTAGACACAAAATTTTTTTTTCCAAAATCTTACCAGCAACATACAAAAGACAAATAGCTCTATAATTTTCAATGAAAGTGGTATCACCTTTTTTATGAACAGTTGTTATAGTTGCGGTTTTCCAAGGGACAGGAAAGAT